TTCTAATTCAGTGGAATGAAACTATCACATGTTAAAAGCAAAGGCAGGATACTGCCAGATAATGCAAAGCACAGGGACCTGAGAGCCCTACTTTACTAAATATTTCCTCTCCCCACCCACGTCTCAACCACCACTGGAAATGTGATACTGAGAACTTCTCCATCATTCATTCCATAACCACGCAAGCTTAACAGCACCACATCTACCCATCTAAAACTCCTGACCTGCAGCAAAAAGGCAAGACATGACAAAACATGACAAAAAGCTGTCATTTCCCATTTGCCCCATTTGCGCACAAATGCCCAATGATGACCCACAGGAGCACGCAGAAGGCCACAAAATCTACACATACCTATTGACCTGTCTGAAGGAGTCCAGGCTGACAGCCTGAATTGCAAAACAGCCATTTACCAAGCCATCCTCTCCTTGCGAGTAAGCTCTCCAGCAGCATTCCTCTGCTTCCACTGTTCCAACACTCCCGTGCCTCACTGCTCCACACCAAGATGCATCCACACACTGCATGCTCTGAGGAATCAGCACATCGGTGGCTGCTATTTACCATGAACGCGTGGCTAGCCCTGAACTCGGCTAGGCACAGCTACCGCTCAGGAATCAAACCTCACAGCAGAACCTGCATTCCCAGCTCTTATTGCTAAATCGGATGCCACCCAGCTGCCATCCCGGCCGGGGGCGGGAGGAGGTGAAGCAGGGTGTGACGCAGCTCGCGCTGCTGCTCCTCGCCAAGGGAGATCCCTGCCCCTGCCGGGGAACACCGCCGAGCACAGCCCAGGCGGCCAAGGGAGCCAAGGGCCGGGAGCGGGCTCCGGCAGCCACAGCCACCGGCAGCCACCACACCGTCCCCAAGACAACAGCTGGGGAGCCCAGATAGGTCGGGCTGCGTGTGCACACAAGGATATGACCTTTACCGGGTTCACCGCCGCCCCATGCTCTGTGTTTACTACAGCCGGTGCCTCCTGGCTGGTGGCGGCGATGCCACCGCCTTGTCCCCGCAGCCCAGGGCGGCTCCTCCGTGCCAGAGGGGCGCGGGAAGGAGAAGAGGGCCAGTGCTCCGCCCGGGAATCAGGGAGGGGACTGCCGGACACCCCCTGCGCACGGGGACAGCGTCCTGGCTGCCGCAACCGCCCGGGCAGCTGGGCCACCGGCCCCGAGCTCCGTTGGCTCGCCCCCAGCCTCCCGGTCCGCCCCCAGCTCTGGGAGAGCCGAACAAAAGGGAACGGGGGGACCAAAAGACAGCAGGGGTTCCTCGTTCGAAGGCGGCGAGAGACACCGCGCCCCGAACGCAACCTTGCCCCAGGGAGGTGGCACCGGGCTAGTATGTAAAGGTATGGACACACACAAAAAATACGATATTATTATTATTAGCATTATTATTATTATTCCCCCGAGACGTCCAGCGCGGCACTCACCCTGCTCGGAAATCGGAGCAAACTCTCATTCACGCTCCCCGCCGTGCCCAGGCCTCCGGAGGCTGGCGACGCCCCGAGAGCCGCCGGCCGCTGTGCTGAGCCGGGCCGGGCGGGGGGGGCCGCCGGGGCCGGGCGCGCCCGCTCAGCCCGGACAAAGCGCAGCCCCGTGCGGGCGAGGCGGCAGCAGGTGCCCGTCCGCCGCCGCGGCCGTGCCGAGCGCCCCGCGCAGCCGCCGCCGCCACCGCAGCAGCGCCCGAGCCGCTCGCCGGGGCCGCGCTGCGCGCCCGCCCCGCCCCCGGCGGCCCCGCGGCGGGAGCCCGCAGAGGCGGGGGCGGGCGGAGCCGGCGGGCGGGCTATGGGCGGTGCGGCACGGTCCGGGCCGCAGCGGCGGCGGCGCACAGCGAGGCGCCCCGACGGTCGCAGCCTGGTCGGGACCGGAGGCGGGTCCCGGTCCCGCGGCCCACCCGGCGCGGAGCCCGCCGGATCTGCGCGGAGCGGCAGCGAGCAACCCCCCAGCCCCGCCGCGCGCACCTGCCCCGCGCCACGCCGGCGCCCGGAGCTCGCCTGCGGAGGAGTCCAGACGCCCAGCAGGCAAGACCCTCCCCTGCGCTGGCTGCCTGCGGTGCGGCAGCGGTGGGCACCGCAGTGGCCGCAGCGGGGCTGCGCTGCCCGAGCATGCGAGCTGCCGCACCGCTGTACCGCGATGCGGTGTGAGGGCAGCCCTGCCCCGCCTTGGGCTGGACCCTGAGCCCCGCGGAGTCGGGGCTTCGTCATTCTCCGGGCTTGGCGAATGCACCGAAACGGTGTCAGCCTTGCCGGTGCTGCGATCGTAGGAATCGTATTGGCGGAGCTCAGTGCGCTCCGGTTAACCGGGGGCTGAAGGCGAAGGCTGGGCCGGGCACGGCCGTGGCTGGGCACTGCCTGCAGTGGGCCAGCGCTGCCCACGGGCTGGGCTGGCCGTCTGCAGCCGGACCGCACACATGCTGAGGAGCCCAGATAGCCCTCAGGGAAGGAAGGGATCATCCAGCGTACAGACCTCCACTCAGTGAGGTTGTTCATTATTTAGTAAGCGTATAGGGCCGTAAACCCTTGCTCATGCATTGTTGTGTTTTGTGTTTCTTGTGGTTAACCCTGATCTTTTTTCTATAGCTTAAAAAAACAGAGAGTATATGCCATAAGAAAATTTCTCGTTCCTCTCACCTCCAGTCTCACGGGTTTGGTGATGCAGGGGCTGCTGTGCAGCGTAAGCAATATTATACGATTTTGTAATAGATTTGTCTACCTCAGCATGCGCCTCTAGCGCAAGGGGGATGAGCTGTGGTTTGCTGCTCGGCATCCTCCGGCGAGCCCCTGGAGAGGGTGGCCCTGTCCCCACTGCTTATCTCCAGCAGATTTGTCCATTTGCAGGGTGGAGATTGATGGCACGTTCTGTGCTCACCAGCATCCTTGTCTTTCACGTCATCTCATGCCCTTTTGCATGCTGGCTTTGTAACTCCTTTATTTTTTGATATCAAGAATTTATGAATCAAAAGATGGGGGAGTGTGGAGGCTGAGTCAGATCGTGAAAAAGGAAAGCCAAGTGAGAGTGTGCAATTGCATATCACATTTACAAACATGGTTTCATTCATCTCCATATGTTACTACTAATAACGCTCCGGTTTCTCAGATTGGAGGTACCCTGGGAACACTGGTCTTCCTGGGTTTTTTTCTCAATAGCCTCCATAGTATTTGTGTTACAATATGTTATTTTTCTGATTATGTTTTCATTATATTGAACACGTTAATATCAGAAATAATTTGATAATGTGAACTGTACTTCCCACACACTCCCTCTTGTTCCTATTATTTGATGTGCAAAAGAGTGACAGTTTATTTACAGGCAGCAATTTCTTTCCCTCTGTACTGCTTAAATTTCCTAATTATAATAACAAAAAAGACTTTTTTTTTTTCCCTGAGTGCTCACTTACCCCTGTTTCTTTCCTCTTTCTTTCCTCATTTTACTAATGATAGCCAAATCCATCATGGTGATTTTGGAGCTGCAGGAAATTTACCTTTGTCTACTGAAAGATTTCTACAGAAGCCTCTATAGGCAAAGGGAGCCAGAGAAGAAGGTCTATTTTGAGCAAAATGGTGTCTGGGGTTTTCTTCCCCAGCAGGGAGGTACAACTGTGGCATGTACGGTAATTAATTTAATACAGTGTTGAGAGAGAAGGTAGAATGATTGTATTGGGAAAGAGGTTTTTTTCAAGTATCAGATGTAAGATTTAAGCAGCAATTTCAATGACCTTTGTGATTTCCGTTTCAGACAAAAGGCAGCAACCTAGTACAAGGGTATCGTTATCTTCTCCCAGCGTCATCCTTTGTTCTTCTTGGGTTTAGCCTGTCACTTCCTAGGGTTTGCCTCTGTCCCTTGTTGGGACAGCAGCACCTCTCACCCATGACTCTGAGAAGTGCTGTCCTAGCAGGTGTTTTTTTTTCCCACTGCTTATTTTACATCTTCTTTGCTGCACAAGTCTTTTTTTCTTCTTGTGACCCTTCTTATGAGTCTCTTCTGTGTCTTATTTATACATCAGTATTTCTGCCTTTGTGCTCATTAGTTTACCTTCCTCCTCTCTCTGTTTTTTGTCCACTCACGTCTTTTCTCTCATTTTTGTCCTCTTTCATACATCTTCTTCTTACATCTCTTTTTCCCCCTCTTTGTCATTCTTTTTATACCCTCTCTTGCACTTTCCTTTCTGACATCTCACTTCTGTCTACTGCCTAACTCTACTTTCCTCTTGACATTTCTTTTCCAAGCTGTTCCTTTGGTTACTGTCCTTTTCCTCCCTTACATTTACATATATTTTACTTAAATACTACATATATAAATGTATACATATATTTACACTCCACATCTTTCACTCTCCAGCTGAAAACAAGAAATTACTCATGCTAATGGTCTGATCCTATTTCATCCCTTTCTTAGCACCTGAAATACAGTGTTACTGCCCATCCTCAAACATATGTATTGGGTAGACTGAAGAATTAAGTATGTGGTAAATGTTCCTAAATTCAGATGTATACTTAAGAGAGTATCTTGCTCAGGCTGGACTGTGAACAGATGTTGTGTTCCCACTGACAGTACCAGAGGAGCCCCTTGAGCTCAAGGACCTAATTACATTATTTTACATTTCTCAATTTGAGGGTTTTTTGTAAATGAAAAGACTTTAATTTTAAATGAGGGACACTGCCATATCTTTGGAATATCTCTTGAATGCTGGACTGACCCAAAATAAGACCTCACAAAACATTTTCCTTTTTTCCCCCCCAATTGTTTTGTTTTATGCATTTGTTAAGCTACTTTTGTGCACCTATTGGAAGATAAATGCTTTCACCTCAGCAAAGCTAATGTCTTCCTCTGAAAAGGGCTCTATGTGGGGTGAGATTGGGACTCCAGCTTGTCAGCCTCCATTTCTTCTGGAGCCAGAGGGAGAGGAGAGAGCTATGACTGCAGGATCATATGCATTGGGTGGGAGATGGAAGAATAGAGGCATAATCCAAAAATGCTACATTAGCCTCAGAGGGTGGGGGGAAGAGTTGTTTAATAATTTTTTCCCTTGTTTGTCACTGGCTACAAACACCATCATTGGGGATCAAGGGCAGTTGTTAGAACCTGCTATTTAGATAAAAGTCTGAGTTTTAAAATATATAATTTATTATTTAAACTACTTTTTTTTTGTTGTTCAAAGAGCTTACTACTAACTGGCTGGAATGAAAACAGCTCCATCCCACAGATTCCACCTCCGCTTTCTGGCAGCTTACCTGACTCATAAAGAGAGTGGGGGGTTTTATATGCCACCTACATCAACTCAACATTTTCCTTTGTGGTGAGACTTAATCACCACCCTTGTCATATTATTTCATCGACCTTCTTGGAGTAGGAATTCTTTACCTTTCAAACCAGCCTTAAAACTTCCTATAAAATAAGTGAGGGCTTTTTCCTGAATTTGGTGAAAGTATGTAGGTGGTCCAATGCAGCAAGGTTTTCTGTGTTATTTTTCTAAAAAATAGCCTTTACCTGAGGACCATAGAAGAGAGAGTTTCCATGTGCAGAGAACACATCTCTGACACGAGATGTCACCTGGAGAGTTGAAATCCATCAGCTGAAGGTAGAGGACGATCCCCCAGGTAATCACTGCAGGTGGGGTATGCTGAGGTGGGGGAAACTGTGGGCTTTTAGCCACAATGATCAAGGATGTAAGTGGGCAAAGTTTGTCAGAGGCAGTGTCTATATTAGACAGAGTCAGGAAAGACAGACATGCTTTTGGGCACAGCAGATCTCTCCTTATAACCTATGTGACCGCCTCTTGTGGGGAGAGAGATCATATGAAGTAGACTGATACTTGTCAAGCAGAAAATACTGAATGAAAAAAGACTGCAAGGTAAAAATGAAAACAATACAGAGGTGGCTTTGCAATAGGTAGTGTGTACAGGAGGCGATGGAAGAAAGGGTAGAACAGAACCACCCCAGGTTGTTGGGAGTTACAAAGAGGACATGAGTTATGCTAGAAAGCTGGAGCAGAAAAACGTGACATTTTTTTCTGAAGGAATTCTTGAAATGACATAGGGGAAGGGCAGAAAGGAAGGTACCCTGGAGCTCAGCACTTAAAACCTAGTGTGAAGGAAGGCCAGGGAAAGCATTTGGTGAGAGTCTCCTCATTTCTCCATCACAAAAGCAGGTAGAAGCAAGGAACAAGGAAGGAAGGGGGGAAACTAAAAGGGCTGAAGTGTACCATTGGTAAATATCAGTGAAGGAAGCGTAGGGAACATGCTTCCATGTTGACAGAAGGCAGAAGTCCTCTTTGGGTCCTCTGGGGGACCTGGAGATTGACTGAGTAACAAGTGGGGTGCTACAAGACGGGAGACAGAGAACATCCTGTCCAGAAGGAGCTGTCTGTCCATACCTAATATAAATATAGGTTGTTTTCATTCTTGATGTGTTTGTCTTAAAATGCACTGGAGGTGTAGCAGCTCTGCCCTGAAGATACGGAGACTGCAGCTATCTTGACCTTCCAGTACCACCCTCCTCTTTCTCACATGCCAGAATTAACCCCATCTTCTCTCCTCTCCTGCGCTGTGGGTACTTAGCCCAGCTCCAGTCATCCTCCTTATCAACTGTAGCTGCCTGATAACTGAGACACAACTCAAGAACTTTGCAGTCACCTGCAAAGATATGGTTCTGGAAGCAGAGGCATTAATGACCTCTGTGGAAGGAGTGTGCTGGAAGAGGCACCAGCAGGGAGAGAGAGGAGCAAAGGGTGACCATTTCATCTCAGGAGGAAATAGCTTGGGAGACTACTGGACTAAAGCAGTGGGGAGACTGAGGTCATGGAAAGCTCAGGAGGAAGGTGAATATGAGAGGATGGAGCCAAGGATGATTAAAAATAACAGTATTGTACATCTAATATGGTATTCCACTGGCATTTTAAACCTACTCCCTTTGAAAACCGTTCTGAGTTTTCAAAAGCAAGCTTTACATGTAGTTGTTCTAATTGCTACTGCCATCCAGGACCACTGTCATTTTGTCCAGCAGCCCCCATTTTCTTCACTGCTGGTCTAGTTGTTGCAACCAAGTCTTCAGCATATTGCTCTTTGCACCCTTACCTGATGCAAATACTGTTGTGTCCCCAGCTATGCCTTGATTTCTCTGGAAGGGAGATGGTGTTTTTTAGCTTGCATCAGCATAGTGATTAGCACACTAAATCCATGTCGTAATGATGCTATCACAAATTAGAGGTAAATTAAAACACTATGCACAAGCAGTTTGTACCATGTGGAATTTGGGCATGGGCTAACCTGACAACCATTTCTTTTAAAGTTTCTGGAGAGTTGCCAGTTTTTCAACCCTGCGGTTGTTCAAAGTAGTGTGTTGGTCTGTACAAATACCACATGTGAGACAGTACCAAGTGGCAGCAAACCTGCTGGGTCTTTGAAACTCCTGGCACTTGTAATGGATGTGAGAAAAAGAAGGAAGGAACAATAAATAAAAGAATAAAGGAAAGAGAAGTACAAAGTGAAGGACATCTGTGCATTTTGATAACAATTCTTCAGTAGCACAGCACCATAGAAAAAGGTTGCCTGGTTAATGTAGAGCAATTACTTGCTATACTGGAGCCATTTCCGAGAATTTTTATAATATCAAGTTTTGTCTTTGAAATGTGGAAGGAATGGATTTCTTTGTCTTTCTCCCCTCCTCCTTTGCCTTTATCTTCCCACTTCCAAGTAAGGATGAAAGTGAGGTTCCCTCTCATCTCCAGTGTAAATTTATTCATGAACATTTTAAAGTGGTTTATTGTCAGTTCTTGTTTCTGAGTTTACTTTTACCTTCGATAACTCTTGTGTCTTTAGTGCTCACCCCTATCTGTTTCTGGAGAAAAGCCAGCTTGCCTCTTCAGGGGAGCTTTGGCACAGCTGGCTGTCCCAGCCATGCTTCTCTCCTCTCCTTCTATCTACAGACTCTCCATTTTCCTGTTTCCTACAGAAGATGACCTCTAATGCTCAGAGGACTTTCTGCCTGTGGTAATGTGATCTGGTGGCAGCAGGAGAAAAAAGTGTCAGCAGTCTTGGATGATGTTCCCAATCCAGTTATTGAATGATGCAAAATCTGGGGAAGGACATTTATCTTTGTTTCCCTGCAGTAATAGTCACACGTCTCTATTTTACAGTAAAATTGCATTTACCATGCCGAATTAATTATTAATTCACACATTACAATATTTTCAGTATCCTGTAGCAATGAAATCAGATGCTGTGCCACTTGCTGTCCTTTAGCTTGAGGCATGGCACACAGTCCTTTAGGATATACCTGTCTGGTAACCCCCACCTCCTGTGTTTACACTCTGTGTTCCCAGGCACCCAGGCTTTACCACCATGATAAAGCAGCTTTCACATATCCCTGACTTTTTTGATGGAATGCTTTGTGCTATTTTTTCTGAAACCATTTTCAGGACTTGCTGAAATGTGAGTAATGTAACCGGGAAGTGATGATTGAAGTGAGAGACTCTCATTTGGAAGGAGTGTTGGTCATGATTGATTACAGCTGCACACATTATGCCCTTGCCTGACACTTTCTCCCCATATAGGGGGAGAGTTAATGGTGGTAACATCCAGGTCTGTTGAGCATACATGCCTTAGACCCATATACATACCTTGAAGGTTGTTAAAAGGTTTTGCTGGGTTTATTTTATCCATGGCATTGAGAATATGTGGTAACACCTACATTGTGATGTACCTATCACATCACTCATAAAAGCCTTAATGACCTAGGTCTGGTCTTCAGGCTAATATGGGCACATAGCTTTCCACTTCAGTGTGGGTTTATGTCCAAATTATTATTCCCAGTCAGTATGGTTTGGCCAAAGTACACATTTTGGGGTACAATCTCAGCTTTTGTTTCTTTTTGCTACATAAATTATCTGTGCTGGAAAAGGGTTACAGGAACCCGCTAAAAACCTGGGTGTGGGGTGTGTAGGAGGAAGAGGTGCTGCATGTGTCTGCTTTGGCTCCCACATAACTCCTACCTTAACTAGGAGCAGCTTTCATCTCTTGGGGAAGCTTCTTCTCCCTCTCCCACCCACTCTCCCCTACGGTGTGCAGGTGTTGGGCTGTAGCTTCTCTCCTATTTTTGGCTGAATGGCTGAATTAGCACATTTTTAATGGATGCATTTTTCAGCACTTATGAAAATAGTCTAGAATTTTGATAATTTTCCATTACTCCATAAAATGCATAAAAATGGTTTGCTTAAATGTGATGGCAGTTCTTTAGATTTATTGTCATTACTAGTTTAGAGACCATGGCTCCTCTGCAGAAGGAGTTATTTAGATATAGTAGCCTTGGTGAGTTTTTGCTCTTCTTTTCCAGAGAAATTGAAATGATGTGGATAAAGAGCAAGTGATTTTCATTTTTGATAATATAGCACAGAGCAATTTATTTCAAATCTGCACTTTTTATTTTCAATAGCATAGGGTGTCATGTAAAGCACCTTTCTTCCATTGGTATTACAGACCCCAGTCATCTATGATTTTGGTTCTCACAATGCCAATAGTCTGTACTTTGCAAACCACCTAGAAGATACATAGAGCTTGTGATGCTTCTGAGAAGTGGAGCTGCTGTGATGTCTTACTCCTTCAGCCCAGCAGGATTGTCCCAGGTCAGCTGGATATCAGCTGCCCTTACATGGTTAGCAGGCTCTGACCTCTCCCTGCCTCCAGAGCAATTTTGCTGAGTTAGTCTAAGGATTGGAGCTAAACCCCACAATTGGGCACAGGGCTGCTGCTGACAGGTTGGCTCCCAGTGTATCCAGTTGAGTTGAAGTGGGATATGAAGGGAAAAGAAGGCTGTTGCTAGAGGAAAGGATTTGTGGCAGAAACAGAAAATCCTGATGATTCTAAAACTTGGAGAGGAAACTCATGCTGCATTTTATACATGACATTTTGAGTTATTGATAAATCTCCAGGAAGGAAGTGAGCCTGCTTGTATTTTCTGTTGGATTCTGTTGGGCTTCCTGAGGATGGTTGTGGTAATACAGATCATGGAATATTCCAAGTTGGAAGGGACCCATAAGGGTCATCAAATCTAACTCCTACAGGTTTCTCTGAAACCCTGACACTGTTGGAAAGCTGACTGGAGTGTAGTTATAGCAGATGCTGGTACTGGGTGTACCCCACATATATTTGACAGGTATTTATCCATAGAAAACAACATTCTCCTTTTTGTATTTATTGGATACTTGGTCAAGCATGTAGATAGCAGCTATCCCAAGGCAAGTATACAATGAGTACTCTTACAAAGACCAGATAATAAAGCTTTTTAAAATACTCGTTTATTAACAGTAACAAAACCTTGATAAAATATGAAGTCTAATATTTGTTAAGTACTGAGCCTTTTGGATTCCAGTGGAAATCAATGTCAGCTGTTGGTACTAAGCATCTCTAAACATTGTACTTGTGCTTTCAGACCTGTGTTAAATCCCCATTGACTTCAGAGTCTTTTTAATCAGCATAAGGACTGCAGTATTTAGTCTTCTGACAGTCATTCTTCTTGCAACATTGTCTCTCTGTTGCCTTACTTGATTAATGGGTAAGGTTTTATTTTCTTTAAAATTTCAATGTATCTTCTCAGCAGAGAGCGCTGATGTAGGGTCCTGCTCCTTACCTTGTAGGTAATAATAATATATAATCTCTGATTGATCCCCCTACAGCCCTGAGAAGCACTTGCAGCTTGGGCAGAAGTAGCGCAAAAGATTACAGCTGTTACTGGTGATTAAAAGTGTGTTTTCTAATCATAAATTGAAATTATAGAAGAGAAAAGATTCCTGTAGTATTCTGTGCAGAACTCCCAAGCAATGGGTTAACACAAGGAAAGTAGGGGTCATCTTCAGTTTTAACCTATAGTCACAGTTCCCTGTTCACTGGAAAACTGCATGTGCATATCCAAGTTTGAAAGCCATTTAAATGAAAACTTTACAGGAACAGAGATACAAAGTGCACCAGAGGATGTAGAACTGAGGATGAGGTCTTAGTATTGGTACTGGATTACTTGGGAGGAAACCTAGGATCTCAAAGCTGTTTTCTGCACTCCTCAACCATTGGAAGAAATCAGGCATTTTATATTAGTTTACCTTATTCTAGGAAATTCTCCTCCTCCTTATTTCAAAGCAAATATTACCTCATCATCACATGCTAGACAACATACCAAGGGAAAAATTCTTTCCAGACCAAAATATGACTATCAGTTTTTGCACGAGGCAACATCACCAACGTCTCACAATGACTCATCGTGCTTCTGATCTGCTTTATACCTGAGGCAGAGCTTGGTACCAAATAATCACAAATATTGTTTGTTTTCTCAACTATTACTATATAATGACTCCTGACAGATGAACAAATTATTGTATAATAGTAGATGGCCATACATAATAAAAGGAAGGGGATTTGCAGTTTGCAGAAATTCTCTTTTTCAATAACAGTCATTTGTTGGCACCTGGTAATTCATAAGTTATATTTACCAGATCTTACAAGCATTTCAGAGCAGGTGAATCCATTAGAAAGCCTTTTCCTTTTGGTGGAAACATTCTCTTGTTTGTTGTGTTTTGTGTTTCAGACAAAATAAAAAGCAGCAGCAAATTTTGTTTAGTATTTTTTGGCATGCAGGAATAAAGCCAAGTATTCTTTCTTTTATATAGTAGGAGAAAATGAGGAAAGGGGCAATAGTTATACAGAAGGGCCAGGACATTCCTATTTAAGGGGCAGAACTATCAGTAGGTGCCCATTGGCTCTCATGTGCTGTAGCACGGATTAAGGTAGAACATCAGAAGATCAACAGATATCAGAATTTCAAATGTCCAAAGGATGAGAGCTTGAGTTTTTCTGCAAATGTTTAATTTGTCACTAAAACCTCCTAAGAACAAAATGCTGATTCTAGAAATGTAACTTTCATTGTTGACTAGGAAATTACAGAAATAGCATGGGAATTTACAGGGAATGCCCCCGAGCTCATCATAGCAAGGACAGCTTTCAAAAGAAAAAACAAAGTAAAAAATCCAAGTGCTGTTTCCAACCCTGCAGGAGGAGAGGTCCAAAAGGCCATCTCATGGTCCAAAAGGCCATCTCATAGTCCACCCACGGTCACCTATGCACACTGCTGGCAGCAGCTTGGCACTGGTCCTACAGACTCAGCAGCAAGGCCAAAAATTAACAAAAATCTTGCAGGAGCTTCCCTGCCTGTCTTTTTCCATTGATATATCAAGCCTGGGGAAAAGAGACAGCATCATGTTCCACGTGGGATTTCTCAGCAGGGCTCCTCTCCCATTTCAGATCTGAGAGACTGTGGTGATTTGTATCCTTGAATATGTTTTTCCATTCACTTTCCTTTTAATGATGCTGAAGAAAGGAGCGTCAACACAAAGGAAGATGTATCTGTCACTCTGCACCACTCTGCTTTCTGGCAGCAGTCAGGCTGCTGCTTGGAACTGGCTGGAAAAATTTCTATGGTTGGTTTTATTGTTGGTTTTCTAAGGAAGGAAAAAACTGCCAGCACTGATAACTGATTTAACTCAGAGCATACAAAGTCATAAAGAAAAAAATTTTCCCAGAGATTTTCCTCAAAAACCTGAAACTTTCCAAATGTGCTGCTTGAAAGTGACTTGGCATGGCCATATCCTGTGGGGAGCCCTGAGGGACCTCAGTGCCTTGGACCTGGAAATGGACACCATCTTTTCTTAGGGGTCCATGTGGGAATCTTGGGCTGCAGTATCCCATGGGAAATGTCAATCAAGGGAACACAGCTCATAAAGCATGTTCTACCCCATTTCAGTCTCCAAAAGTCACAGAATGGATGAGTTTGGAGGTGCCTCTGGCAAACATCTAGTCCAGTCCATGCTCAGAGCAGGATCAGCCACTGTGGGTTTCTTAGAGGCATGTCCAGTTAGATTTTTAGTATCTTCAAGGATGGAGATCCTGCAACCTCTCTGAGCAACCTGTACCCAATGCTTGGTCTGCATCACAGTAGAGAAGTCAAACATGCTGGTAACACTTCCAAAATAAAAATCAGTAATTATTAACCTCTTCAGGTTCTCTCTCCAACTCTATTTTTTTTTTCCTTAAGGAAGCAAAGATATGCAACTATTTTTATAAAGAAAACATTTTTTTAAAGGTCACTTTTTTTTTTTCCTCAAAAACTGGCTACATGGACACTTTGAGAATAATCCCACTGCTTCTGTCTCTGTACTATAGCAGCACGTGCTGTGGGTTGTGTTGCACCGTTGACAGAAAGATTGGTGATGCTGTTGACCATTATTAACATTATTTATTTAGCACCTGACAAATGCACTCGGGCTCTGCATGCTAGGCACTGCCTGAATAAACCACAAAGAACACAACCTGTTTTCAAAGAAGGTGTTATTTACCTGTTAAACAGTCAGCTGCAAAGAAATGGGTGGAGAGAAGCACAAGTTTTTGTGCTAATCTCTGAACTTCAGATCATTGCTTCCCCCATTGCAGCCACACATGATCCAGGCCGTGCTACCCAAGGGTATTAGCTGATCAAATGCATGGAGATGTCCTGTAGATGTGACCTGTTCTGGAGCCCTATGAAATCACTCTGGTGCCTGTTGGGCTCTCTATTCATTTTTTAAAAGCTGCAGTGGAAGTGCACTCAAGAATTAATACATATTTTAGAAGGACGTACTTTTCAAAAAGCCTAAGAAATACTCATTTTCGTTTTTTGGTTATGGTGTTTTTCAGTCAGGAAATGAGCTCAAAAGAAAAAGAAGCAAGTGCACAGTTATTTCTTCTCATAGAAAAATCATTTTCCATTGAAACTACATATTTTCAAGTCTACAAACAGAGAAGTAGGGGATTTATTTTCCCAATACTGCTTCCCAAATAGAGGAAAAAAGGGAGAAAATTTGTAATTTCACCAGAAGAAGAAAATGCGGTGTTTAAGGGGGCAGGTGTCAGTTTTGAAAGGTGTCCAGAGCTTTTGGGGCAGTCCAGAACTTGCCCTTCCAATGCCACCACTGGAAACAATGCCAGGAGAAAATAAGAAAGGACATGAGGTGGCAGAGTCAAAAACTTAGCACGTGAAAATCATGTCTTTGGAGAATAAACTGCTTTTCTGGAGCAGAAACTCAACTCTAAGGATTCTTGTGCTGACTTCAGCTTCTAGACAGGAGAGTGTTTTGGAGGGCTGTGGTGGAGACCCTTCCTCCGCCCTCCACAGCATCCCGAGCAGTGCCAACCTACCCTTGCAGGTGGGCATAGCCCTGCTCAAGATGCCCATGTTGCCCTTGCCCAGTGGCTTCCAGACCAGACCATGTGTGTCCCGGAGCCCAGCCCTGGTGCCTCGTTGGGCAGAGCAGCCAGCAGTGCCTGGTGCTCTCTGCAGGGGGGAGGCAGCATCACGCAGGCTGATCTGGAGCCGTGGAGGTTTCTCCATGATTCGGAAGCAGGAGCTGGTATCCACTGAGGTGTGGGGTGGGCACGTAAGTCCACTCTCAGGATCAAAGATGTTTTCTCCCACAGGGAGCAGCCGGGAACTTCATATAGACTTTGTTGTAGCAGTGCTGCTGCATCTGGCTCTGATTGCAGAATCTTAATCTCACTCACTGCTTCCCAAGGAGGAGAGGCAGGGCTGAGCATGCAGCCATTGCCTTGGCACAGGCACTGTTTAGGTCCTTCTCTGATACTCAGAGTGTGCAGACCATATGTTACATCCCAGCTTTCTCTCTTCTGTTTACTTCTATCCATTTTCCCATGTGCCATCATCCCTGAAGCTCTTTTTTCTCTACTAGTCTCTCTTGGCCAGCAGACTGTAATTCCTAGGTCATCTTCAAAGGACATGCAGAGCAGTAAAATGCAAGCGCTGGGGTGATGCTGTAAACATATCCGCCAGCAAAACCTGGAGGAGCCTTGCCTTTCAAGGGAGCATTTGAAGTGTTCTCTGTAACACAAAACTATTTACCAGGTTGCAACACAGTTATTCCCCTTGACCCATGAAGTAAAGCATACGTAAATTTGTAGTGTAGGGGAGGCACATAGTTTTTTAATGGGTTTACATACTGGTTTTTTGTTACTGCACTTCTGGATGAGAGCAGTCAGCTGCAGGTCATGACTCTGCACGTTGTGACCTAATGAAGAAAAGCTCAGAGAGAGGATCAGGTATATTTGGTGTAAACTGTCCAGCAAAAGCTTGTTCTCTTGAAAGCAAAAAGCATCAAATAGCAGGAAACAATTTTTTCCATCAACATGTAGCTCAAAAGCACTCTGTTTCTCGGCCAAGTAATTCCTGCCACCTCCTCTAAGTTTTTCTACTCTCTGGTATTTTTTGATAGCAAATATGAATACTGATATATTCCTGTAGCTTAGCTAGCTAGCTTAAAACTATATTACTTTTTATATTTCACTGGAAAACGTGTCAAACAATAGCCACAGAAATGCAAGCACACTCAAAATAAACTTCTATCTACATGCAAATAAAAAAGGGTTTATTGGAGATTGTAAACCACATAAAATAATTTTGACCAGTCTCATATAAAGGTATCTGCAGTGATACGTTGCAACAGTCTTGGGCCCATTCCAGCAAGATTTGATTTAATCCATGCTGCAGTTAGTGTTTGCTGTGGAACTGCAGTGTTCTCAGAAAGATGTTCTGGCTGCATCTCATATTTGCTAAGTAGACGCCAATTAGGTTTGTGTTCAGAGATGTTGACAAGGCCAGTGCTGTAGATATTTAAGCAGAAAACAACAAAAAGCCATACACAAACCAGAGAAATTCTTGCTGGCAGATCAAAAATGCGCGTGCGGGGTCATGGGGTATTTGTCTCACATTCTGAGCTGTTGCTTGCCTCCAACTCAGACTCTCATCTTGCAGTACAATTATTCTGTAGAAGGTCAAAAAAAAATTAGATTTTTTTGATGTTCTCTCCAAGCAGCTCCAAGACTCAGCAAAAGAGCTCTCAGGATGCCAGAGCCAGCAAAGTCAACCTCAGCCCCCAAAAAGGGCTCCAAGAAAGCTGTGACAAAGACCCAGAAGAAGGGTGATAAAAAGCGTCACAAAAGCAGGAAAGAGAGCTACTCCATCTATGTCTACAAGGTGCTGAAGCAGGTCCATCCTGACACGGGCATCTCCTCCAAGGCCATGGGCATCATGAACTCCTTCGTCAACGACATCTTTGAGCGCATTGCTGGAGAAGCCTCCCGCCTGGCCCACTACAACAAGCGTTCCACCATCACATCCCGGGAGATCCAGACCGCCGTGCGCCTGCTGCTCCCAGGAGAGCTGGCCAAGCACGCGGTCTCAGAGGGCACCAAGGCTGTCACCAAGTACACCAGCTCCAAATAGCCCGACGTCCCCTCTGCAATGGGACCATCGAGCACCGGGCCCTCCACACAAGCACGAGTAGGCAGCCATGGTCTGGACGAATGGTCACTGCTATTATCCACAGCAATTTGCAACCTGGGAATGGGCATGAGAAGCTGCCCAGAGGAAGAGGAGACAATGATCTGGATGTCAGCTGATTTTCATAGTCCGTTCAGGATGTGGAAAGGATTTGTCGAGGCTGGTAGTGGAGGCCCCTGCTTTCACATCTCATTCAAAGAACTGACCAACCATAATATATCCAGTCTCCTCTGTGCTTGGCAAACATTCATGTTTGGCACTGGGAGGGAGGGCTGTCAGCAGCAGCACAGAGACACCATCACTGAAGTCTTCCTGTTTGACTGCTTTCTCACAGTCATCTGATATGGGTACTGAAGAGTCAGCGCTGCATCCTCACTCTCAGAGCCTGAATCTCTCCTGGTGTGCAGTGGCTCAGCCCACCCTGTGCTGGCAGGAGTGGCATCAACAGCTACTAGGCACATATTGATTCAACAGCTATCTGTGTTTGACAGCCTGTTTTAAAGAGCAAGCCTGGCAGGCAGGCAGATGCCCACGTTGATACCAAGCACTAATCCTCCTTCTTGCTCCTGATGGATGAGCCATGGAGCAAGATGAGGGTGCTGGTGCTGGAGCTGCCCACTGCCTCCCACCTTGTGCTGAGGTGGAGGGATGGACAAGGTGGGATGTTGGGAATTGGTCTCTATTTTCCTGGCTGCTGCTTTGCCTGCCTTAGGACTTGCTTTGGCATGCAAGACATTGCTAATTCTGCTACTTTTCAGAGACTTTTCCTGCCTTGATGCTGCCTGGGTGCTCCCTTCTACCGTAAGTGTGGGCCAGATGGGGTGGTGTCCATGGGGGTCCCCTCTCCTGTGAGCAATAGGGTGGTGCAGGACAAACAGCACAGATGTTTTGGGCAGGGACTGAGGATCTAGTGTGGGAGCAGAGGTGGTTAGTGCATTTTGAGGGGTGGGAGGGAGCTGGCTCCCCGCAGAGGTCACTGCAGGCAGCTTGCCTGGCCCTGCCCTCCCTAATTCATTCAGCAGTTAAAAAGCAAAAGCAAAACTGGGGGCTGGGTGGATATATAGGGACACTTGCCTGCATCCCAGATATTTAAAAGATTAAATAGTTTTAAACTACTTCAGATACTCTCCATATCTTTTCAAAGTCCACACTAAGGTGAGCAATAATAAAATCATGATAAAGCCATAGAGGTTAAGGGAGGAATGTCTTGGTTACAGGTTTATCTTGCCCAGACTGCTGGATGGCAGAAGGGCCTGTGTAGAACTGGTGTGAAGTTGAAGCTTCCTACTCAAAACACAAAATTAGCCAACATTTTTTAAAAAAATCAATGTCTCTGGTAGGCAGTAACACTCAAATAAAAAATATTCATGTCTAAAATAACAACAGCTTTCTGCAACTTAATCTGTAAATAAAAGGAGCAGCAAAGATACAGGATCCAGAACTAAGTGCAGATTCTCCCTAAGCTTCAAGACTTCATTAAGGTAAATTTATATCCCAAAATAGCAGTCATGCAGTACATTTCTGTCTTTCCCCTGCATTTAACTCTATCCTGTTTCTCTACACTTTGAGAGTGATTGGGACCTTTGACAAATTTATGTTGCATTTGGAGCTGTAGGACTGCAGCTCCAGAAGATTTGCATTGCAGTCATTTTTCCAGCTGATCTGAGGAAAGGACTGTATAGCCCTGCTCAAAAACCTGAGAGCAGCCTGGGGTCTCGTGTGGTCTCTGTGCAAGAGCGAAGGTCAGTTTGTTTATGGGCTGCTCCCACACCCCTGCTTTAGGTATGAGCACCCCATACTTGAAAAGGGGCTTTCCTCCCATGCTCTGCTCATCGATACCACACAGCTGTTTCATAGCCTAATACCAGCAGGAGTCTCTGCTGAGAGCTCTCAGAAAGAGCAAAACTCAGCTCCCTGGGTGCCAGCACCGACAAGGAGCTGCTCCCTGCAGCAGCACCTGTATTCAGTATCAGTAGCATTGGTAACCTGGGCCTCTTGGCCAGGACACTTTGCAGGTTACAGCTTAGTGCTTCCTTTTGTTTTCAATCAAATAGTCAAAATCAGATACCAAAGATTAACATGTACCTGCAGTGGGCCTAGAGCCACCATCCTTGACACCTCCACCACAAGAAATCCAGGCAGTGGATGATGCATCAGAGGGACTGTTGGGAGTGAAGGGCTGGATGGCAGTGCTAGAGCTTTCTTCTTCTGTCTTTATGAGCTGCAGGTCAGAATTCATCTCCTTGAGGAGTCCTCTTGAAGGCAGTAATTCAGAGTGGAATGAACCTGCTCCAGTCCAAGTAGTATGTATGAGCCAGGACACACATCTCCCTGGATTACCTGGCACAGCCCCTAGATTCTCACTTCTTTGTGCAGAGCAGACTCCCACTTTAGTCTCCACAGGCTTCAAGAAATCAGGAAAATAAAATGAGGTATTGGCCCTCCAGGGTCTCCTGGCCAGCTCAGGGAGCCAAGAATGAGGCTGGGCAGACTAGAGCTGCTCACTCCATACTCAGAGTACTGGTCCTGTTTTCTTCTGCCATGTTGTCATTCTCCATTTTTGGAGATTGTTTCAGAGAGAGGAGAACCAGTGATTTAAACCTACAAAAATACTTGAAGGCTTAAAGAAGATTTTTATATTGTCTAAAGCCAAGTGACTGAGACTGATCATGTCCATGCATTTATAGTTTAGGTTGTCCTTTTATGCACCATTTTCTCTTCACTGTCTGTATTTTTTTTTCACTCACTCCTGACAGTATGAAGCACAGGATTGAGGAACTGATCCATGTTAGAACAAACCTTTTTTGGTTTTTTCCTTTCTCTCAAGGTTTGTTTTTAACCCTGTTCTGGTGGCTGCATTGTTCTGTCATTGTTGTACAGACATTTGTGCCAGCAAAGGGAAGGGATGGTCTAGGAAAGGCAAGGCTGGTATAAGCTAGGACTGACACACAAAGCATTTGGAAAGTTAATGTACATGACACCATCCACAGCAGTTAAATGGGAATTAGTTTGAATGTGATGAGCTTGGCCTGAGCCTTAATATTAGAGGCAATAGCAGGTGGTCTAAAAGTTCAAGGATTGATTGTCCCCTAAATAATCTGAGGTGTGACATACTTCAGTTTCTTGGTAAGGAGGTTTGCTGCAGAAGATGAATTCTGCACTACAGCATCTGTGCTTTTAAAGAATACATATTTCCAGCTCTGAAATTGAGAAAATGTTTTGAAACTGAAGGTAATATACCAAGCCCCACTGTCCCTACCTGATTTCTGCTGCAGTCCCACAAGCATCTCTGGTCTATGCATGTGTTTTGCCAGGCAAATTTTAAAAAATTAAATCAACTATAGATTGAAAGTTGGAAAGGAAGATGAAAAAGGTAATAAAGCCTTGATATTAACTTCTTGTTAACCCCAAGGATATCACTGCACTGAGTTATTTGTTTTCAAGTACAATTTAAAAGAGAAAGCAAGCTGCTCTAGATCTTCTGATTTTCCTCCCTGCTTCCCTAGAAGGGCCTAAAGTCCACCTGCCTTTCACAGCAGAGTTCAATCTATAGAGGAACTGAGGAACTGAACCTGCATGGAGGCTTGCTCGTGTTCAGGACAGACAGGTTTTTAGTCAAGCATGGGGAAAACAAGGTAAAAACAAGTGTGGAGGACAAGTGCCTGTCCTGGACACAACTCTGTGTCCCACAAAGGGACACTGAAGAGTCCTGCCAGTGGAGTTGTGTGGCATGTGCACCCTTCACTCTGGTGACAGGCAGCCATATGGGTAGACACAAGTCCTGCCACCCCTGGAGCAGAGTTTGGCATGGCCTTTGCACAGCCCTGAGAGTTTCTTCCATCATAGAATTTCCTGACGGTTTACATCCAGATCAACTTGTTTACAAGGAAAGGAAGAATGGAAACTGAATAATAAAAATCACTTACTGACAGAATTTGGAGAGTTTCCTGGGACCACCACCTGGGGAGCAATCTTTCATGCTTAGTCCATGCATGGTATCTCGTGGGCTTATGTACACAGAGTTTTTCTGACAATAAGTGTTACATCAAGTATGATTCATGTTATATTGCTGCTGGGTTATGACCTTAGTGCTAATTACCTGCTTTCTGTTAAATGTCTAAATAAAATGTAACTTCCAATCTGTTGGAAGTCAATGGTACCCAGCTGTTGGGGTGTCTTTGCTTCTGCCCTTATCACTTGTGTTCCCCCAAGCCCTGCTTTTCTCCTTCTCCATATTTCCTCCAGACCTGGGGTGACCCTTCCAGCAGATGGAGCACAGCTGGTCCTGACAGAAGGGCAGTCAAAAACCAGAGGAGCCCCACACTGAAGGGATACCACAGGCTGCCACTGTGAGTCCTCATGGGGAGTCACTCACCCGAAACATGAGTGCAACATAAACGTGTTTTTCTCAAGCCCTTCCAATGATCTTGTCCCAGACAGAGCTGAGCCTGCAACCTGTCCTTGCCACACTCCTGCTTGGGTTGTGCTCTGCCTGACACCCATCATTTACTGCCAGGCAGGAGCAGTTTGAACAGAGCAATGTGAGATTCTGTGGCTGAAGAAGTGTTTTATGCACATTCAGAATTTATGTTGATCTGAATTAACAACTGCTAATGCTAGAAACATCTTTTCTTGGAGTCTTAAGAAGTTTTAGGCAACAAACATGGAATGAGATGTAACATCTGAAAACCTCAGAAAGGAAAAGATCTTTCCTTTAAAGAATGATTGGTAAATACACTTCAGTGAAACACTTACCTGCAGGACATCATCATCATAATGCGTTCACTGGAGAGGGAAATGCATGTGCCATGCTGGACACTGCTGGAGAAACTAGTTAAGAATTTCAGATAGAAATCTGAGCTAAAAAAGTTTCTAGTGTTTCAAAAAAAATACAAGCTTAACATAATTGGGAAAATCAGTATTTAGAGAAAAAAATCCCAACTTACAACTAACTGATCTGAAGTATTTATTTCCAAGGAAATAAACTTTGCTACTTGTACTGATTTCCATTTTGATGCCCCTTTCCAGAGACACACCCACAGTGCACTTTCAAAACAGGTGTCAGGAAAAACCAAACCAGGTTATAAAAGGGAGAGCATAGGTCATGCTTCTCCAGGATGCTAGGAGATCATTTTGTTTATTTTTAAATATCCAGTTATTATCTACTACTTACTGACTGGTTATTCAAAGACCATTAGTTGGACTCAGATGCCAGATGAATATGGCTATTGGCAGAACTAGGTAGAAGAACTCAGGAACATCAAAAGAAATTATGAGAGGATGAGGTTTGAATTAAGATTCATGCAATGAGTAGTCCACCTGTAGAGACTTTGCCAATGGCTGTTGAAGATGCTTGAATTGGCTCAAGGACAAACTAGTGGGAGAAAATTTCTTTAAGTTTTACTAAACACTTAAAAGCTATGCTGAAAAAGTATTACAGGCTGAGAGAATACAGAAAGGAAATTACTTTATCTGTCTGTCTGATTCCTACAGTCTTTCTTGCCTATTCTGTCACAGCCACAGCTGGAAACAAGATTTTGGGTTGAATGCACCAAAGAACTGATCCAGGTTGTCTCCATACACACCTGAACTGTAGAGAGTTTCAGGCAGTTTTCTTAGGCCTATGGAGCTTAGAACTAAGCACAACAGAAAGTTTTTTACTTGGCTTTCCTGTGTGGCTCCTGCACTTGCTTTGACGGTTATGTGGATTCTGTTACCCTGGCTTACATGAAAGATGTAAGAGATGTTTTGTTTCTAAAATTGTTAGGATTAATAAACACAGATGGTGTGAGAATGAGAAATGGTGCTTCTGCTTTCTCATATAATGGAAAGCTGTTCTCAAAAACATTTCTCATTTTCTCCCTTGAAGCAGCTGCTTTTAAAAAGCAGTTACACCATTTCCTGC